CCTTTCTTTACTATACTGGGGTTCACTTTTCAAAATCTGGCATGTAACAAAAAGTGGCAGTTTTCAAACGCATATTTCTAAAATGCATTCATGAGCAATATGTCATTTGACGGAGCAAATTTTTTGATTTAAATGATTAATTGTTTATCAATAGTACACCAATGAATCACGTGCTTGCTTGCTTGCTTGCCATAACCTGAGTAGTACAACAATTCTCAACAACTTTTTGAGCAATTTGTTATCAGAGAAATATATGCAGGGCTCATTTTTAGGCCCCCTAAAGAACACTGACGATTGCCTTGTCAAACATTGCTCGCATTGCTTGTAGATGACTGCGTGATTTCCGTCATAGGACCAAATGCACCGGACCTAAAAGGACCATTGCAAGATACTTTGGACAATTTGTCTTCTTGGGCTATGAAACTGGGTATCGAATTCTCTCCGGAGAAAACTGAGATGATTGTTTTTTTTTTTTCTAGGAAGCATTATCCAGCACGAATGCAGCTTCAACGCAGTGGTGAAATAATCAATCATAGCATGTCTTTTAAGTATTTAGGTGTCTGGTTCGATTCTAAATGCACTAGGAGAAAACATATTACGTATTTGAGGCAAAAATGCCAGATATGTATGAATTTTCTTGATAAGGTTGTTGTCTCCATATCGGTTTAAGCTGTATGCACTCGACGCATGAGCCTCGAGGTGCTCGTTGGCGTACTCTCCTTAACTGATCGGTTTCTCATCAGTAGCGAAGTTATGAATCCATTGGTGATATAGAAAACTTTGAGAAGTTGCTCCCCCGAAATCCTCATGAATTTCAGGGTTGTTACAACAGGCGCGGATTTCGCGAATTTCGCAGATTTCGCGATTTCCGCGGATTTGAACTTTCAGTCGCGAAAATCGCGGAAACATTAAATGATGTCGCGAAAATCGCGAAGGGACTGATGTGCTGTCGCAAAAATTGTGGAATTCATTGTAACATTTCCGCCCCGGATTATTTCCCCGAGGTCTGTCCAATGTGAGACATTCTCTTTTTTTCCAATATGAACATAGCAATTTTCGTTGTCAAATCATAAACGAATCGTTCAGTTGATTTGTTCTACTACATCAACCAAGACTCCAATAATGTCTGTAGTATCGAAATATGTCCAAACAAATTCAAAATGTCTTTGTGGATTGTAGCCGACCTATTGCTACGTATACAAGATGTTAAAGGTTCTGAAATCATTCTGGAGTTCAGATTATTTTTCTACTAGATCACCCAAGACTAATCCAATATCTGTAGTATTGGAAATAATTAAATATTATCCATATAGACACTATGAATCTGTTTGGACATATTTCGATACTACAGACTTTATCCCAGTCATGGTTGATCTAGTAGAATAAATCATCTGAACTCCAGAACGATTTGGAGAACCTAAAACATCTGGTATACATGACAAAAGTTCATGCATGATCCACATAGACTTTGTGCATCTGTCTGGAAATATTTTGATACTAAAGACATTGTCCCAATCTCGGTAGATCTAGTAGATCAAATTATCTGAACTCCAGGACGATTTGAAGAACCTACAACATCTGGATTACTCGGAAATAGATGATGATGCATGATCCACATAGACACTTTGAATCTGATTGTACATTTTTCGAACAAATCAACTGATGTCCTGGACGATTTGGAAAACCTATAATTTCCGGTATAGGTACATAGTAATAAGTCGTACATGATCCACAAAGTCACATATATACAATTCGAATATGATTTGACACCGAAAAGTGCTAGGTTCGTATTAGAAATAAAACAAATATGAAAATGTCTCACCATTGGGCAGAACCCAAGGAATATCCGTGTAAATACACAACCGCGACGTGACCAACAAGTGTGACTTATGAATCTTTGGTAATTTCTCGATTATGTGCAGGGTGTTTGGTTTGAATTGAAAAAAAAAATGAGAAAACTAGAGCCAAACTAACTACAACATTTAGGACAGCAAAATACGTCAGAGACGCAAAGGTGAATTTTCAAGAAAATTTGCATTTCAAATAAAAATGCTTTAATTAAAAAAAAAAAAAATGTTTCATCAAATCTAGGCCGATATTATTCAATAGAATCTCATAATGTAAGGGTGTTTTATTACTTTCACTAATTACTCAGAATTTAAACGCTTATTTAATTCTCAAACCCCCATCGATACTGAAAAATGCTAAAACTATCATAACTCCAACATTTCTGAACATATTTTTTATCTATCCATCTAAAAAAACCGCAAACTTCTTTAGTTTTTATTGCATGGAGTCTTAAATCTTCACAAATAGGGCTTATCGGGGAGCAATTGTTCACTCAGGTAACTAGACTAGCAAAATTCTTAAGTTCCGCCTTATGAAGCTGCACAAACATTCAAAATCTAGAATTCATAAGGCAACTATGCTTTCCATATATTACCTATGATTATCTTTACAACAACGTAAGATTTGCTTACGCCATACATTGGATTTTATTTAACGCGCCTTATAAAATTCAATGCTGTCATTTGTGCGAAAAAGTCATAAGACAAACATATGCAAAGGCAAAAATGGCCCCTATCGTAGTAGACGAACTAAAGCTCATCGCAGATTTTCTGAACGGAGTACCCCGAGTCAACTTGGAAGTATTCCGACGTAAGTTAAAGTAATTGTTTTCAATCTATTTAATAAATAATCATTGTTCCTTCCTTCCTTGAAGAGCACCTATTAGCATATGAGGCAGAAGTTTGAAGGATTGAATCGCTTAGCGTGATTAATTAAGACAAAATCGATGGATCACAATTTAACATTCATGAAGTGAATAATAGATAATATTTCAGAAATAATAAAGGTTTCTCATTTTTATATTTTTAAGTAAACTGTGAAATGTATATAAATGTATTGCAAATAGATAAAAAGTTGAATCGAATATTGTTTATTTATAAATATATTTTTATAGTTTCAGATTATTAGATATTGTATATCGCCTCCTCATTAATGACCTTGGTTTATGCAATACACGGATGTAATCCAGATTTGAGTGTATATAATGAATTAAAAAAAAAGATGTTGCATAGAAATACAGGCGATAATATATCTAATAATTTGGGGATTCAAATTTGTATAGAGTTTATTCAAATTGAGATCGAAATTAAAAATGTGGATTTTTATAATGAGTCATTTTGAAATTCATATAGCTGAAAATGTATATTTTAAAAGTTTAAAATTTTAAATTTCATAAGGCTGTCGTATGAAAAACATAGTGCATTCAGTTGATTTATTTTGGCTCGTTTCATAAGGCAATCTAATAGAAATCATACTGATTACTTGTGGCTAAAAAACATAAGGCATTTTAATGAATTTCGCTAGTCCAGTTGCCTCAGTGTTATGGTTTGCGTTTTTCTTTTTCTTCAGTAAGGCCCACTTTATTGTTGAGGCCTAACCTTAGATGAATAGCACCCCAAATCGACAGATGGAACAGCTTCTCCGCAAACAAAGAGTGTTGTATGCCTGCACCATGCACAACGTCCATTAGCACTTGGATTATCCAGTCTGTATGCAATCGGAGATGTTTCTGTGAACAGCCAAATAACGCAGAACTCGTGATGGGTATGGTTAACACGAAACATTATTAGATACACAGAAACATGCAATGGATTTATTCAACGTGCGATTCAGTGACTTGGTTGAGGTGGATTGGTTGTTTGCTCTCGAAAGATCACAGTAGGTAGGCCAATCCTTCGTCGATACGATGTTTTCCGTCGGTTTCTTATCACACCTGCGTGATAGATGGTAATCGATGACGATGACGAAGCTGATGATGGCTTGATGATGATTTTGGTCCTATGTTTCGTGGTGAGAGCGAGCTGATTCGGTTGCTCAGGATCATAACGGTGTGTGGAATCTTGACCATCCGAATTGGTGTGGGATACTGATTTGGTGATGATAAGGTTGTAGTTGAACGGATCGTCATGCTCCTCAACGTTATTGAGATCGTGTTGATTGGAACCCGACTTTGAAATTGCGTCGAATAGCAACTTCATGTTAAATTCGTCATCATTATTTGCTTCTTTTTCTTCTTCATTGTGTATAATCGAGTTGTGGAGGGTAGGATTGAAATTGAATATCTCAACATATTCCACATCCTGGCCCTTGTGACAGTTGAATGTATCGATGCTGACCACTTTTGTTCTTTGTATTTACAATATGCATTCATAAAGCCGGCGCCGGTGGTGTAGTGGTAAGCGTGACTGCTTTCTAACACCCCAATGGGTCTGGGTTCAATCCCAGCCGAGGTCGGTGGGATTTTTCTGAGGCATAAAAATCTCTGGTTACGTCTTCCTTCGGAAGGGAAGTAAAGCCGTTGGTCCCGGCCCATGTGTGTTGAATGGGTGCGATATCCTACGCAGGTGTGGAAGCTGCCTTCCTGCACATTCGATTGCGGTCAATGGATGGCAATCGATGTCCGTCGGTGATTGGCACTAGATTGCGGAACAGAGACCGACGTTAAATAAAGGAATGAACAATATGCATTCATACAATTGAGGACTCTCCGGCGGAATATAATAGCCCTCTATAATCATTAGTTTTGGAAACATAGATTATAACTGATTGCTGGTGGCCGTTTATATAAACGTCTTCTGCCTATCTAAAAACATATGGACCAATAGAAACATAGTGTCTTGAGAGAACAGTTCGATTTTGTTGAAGACATCACATCTCTATCTAGCCAAACTAAAATGTTATATTTTGCAGCACCACCAGTGGTGAAGTTCCAGTAAAAATTTCACGAATTTGGCCTTTTAAACCACTACTGTTCATTGGTAGCGTATGTTTTGAAGCACAAGTTGCAAAAATTAAGCGCTTTTACAAATAATTTTGAGTGCGCTAAGCGATAATGATAATCTTTCGATCGACAATTGCAAAACAATTGCTTCTCAACTGATAATAACAATGGCTCAATCAAACTTAACTTTCCTATCGATAAGCCTCATTATTTCAGCGACCAGCCATGATTCCACAGCTAATCAGCGCTCTTGTGCTAATCCACGTAGCTGCAGGTAAGTCCAATTGAAAAGCCTTCAAATCTTCCTAAATTCATTCTCTATTTCCTAACCAGCTGCACCAGCGACATCCAAGATCGTTAATGGTACAGATGCATCGATCAACGATTATCCTTTCATGATATCGCTGCGCAGTGCTTCCGGAAGTCATTCCTGTGGTGGAAGCATTATCAACAAATACTGGATTCTGACCGCAGCTCACTGCGTAAATTATTATTCAACTCCTCTTGTACAGTCCATTCAAGTAGGTAGATCTGTAATTTCCCGGGATGTCGACGACTCCGTGTATCTCATCGACGACGTGATCATCCATCCCTATTATGATGCTGCAAATAGCTACGTGAATGACGTAGCGCTGATTAAGCTGAAGAGACCGTTGGAATTCAATGAGAGTGTGCAGCCGGTCAAATTGGCGAGCAAATGGTCCGAACTTGATGCGACAGATTTGGACGTCACTTTGATCGGATGGGGTCTTTTGGAGACTGATGGTGACTTGCCGACTACATTGCAAAAAGTGGACTATTTTGCGGTGCCTAATGATCAGTGTAACGAGTTCCATTCGCGGCATATCTATCCTAGTCAAATTTGTGCAGCCTTACCGGAGGGCGGTAAGGGGCAATGTAGTGTAAGTGTTATATTGGTAACCTTTTGAAAGCTTTGTTGGTTTATATTACTCTTGCTTATTTTAGGGAGATTCTGGTGGTCCTTTACTGAATAATGGAATTCAAGTTGGAATCGTTTCCTGGAGTGTCAAACCGTGCACGATTGCTCCGTATCCGGGAGTTTTGACAAAGGTTTCCTATTTCCTTGATTTTATCGATGAAAATACTAAGTAAAAACTGTCAAGCATTAGTAGAATTTCCAAATAGAAAGTTCAAAAACATAGTTTAAGAAGGAAAGGTCTTTATGTGAATGAAAGACAATTTCGGTACCATTTCAATGGGAGATAAAGAATGAACACACTTTCTAACCATCAAGATTCCATATTGATTTTTTTCCGAACACATTCAATTTCCATGTGAAACACAAGAATCCCCCGAATGGGTGGTGCAGTCCACCCACCGCTATTTATCGGCAGTCATCCAAATCAGTTGAGCTAATTTTTGTTTATAATTAATGTCAATCATAGAGGAAATGAATGTAATGTCGACCTAAACGTCCCTAATTTGGGCCCATATATTAGACCTATTCATTTTAACAGAAATGTTCGGGATGCACCGGGTCAACCATGATTACTGTTCGTCATGTTTATTTGAACTACTGTGCAAATTTTCAGCAAAATCGGTGATGATTTAGAGGTGCTTCAAGTTAATTTTATGTTTTTATGGTAATAAACGGCTTATAATATTTGTATCTCGAGACTGAAAACTGCTGTAACTACTTGCATAGCAAAGCTTAATGTGTTATCTACCATCTTTGTGACCAATGGTTGACTATTCAAAGTAATTTTATTGAATGTTTGACTTAGTTTCATGCTCGAAGATATCTCAAAAAGTGAAGAATTTTAAAGTATTTGTTCTACGAATTGTCCACCGATATGATATAAAAATGTGTAGTCTACGGCATAGTGTTCCTTATACTGTTCTAGAAATTTCGTTCAAACATAGTTTTAATTTAGATTCCATAGATTGAGAAATAAAAATCAGAAAAGAGGCCGTTATAGCTAAAATTCACAAACAACAGAGCCAATAAAAATTTCAATTAGATTTACAGAACATAGTTCCATTGCTTTTCAATGACGACCAATGACTTTATCATTGATAAAAGATTTTTTTTTAGAAATATGAATTCTCAGTAGACGTGTTTTTTATCAAAGACAACTGTCACTCGAGTCATCCAAAATGTTCGTTATTTTATAAATTCAGTGCCAACATTTCAAAGGGGCGTAATTGCATTTGTAAACAATGACTTTTGTCGTCGATTTCTCGCGAATGAAAGCTCACTCATGACACCACCAGGTAGAGGAATGTTTCTTGTCCCAGTTATGGCTCGAGTGACACTTGCCTTTGTTAAAAAAAAACACGCCTACTGAGGATTTAAATTTCTAACAAAAATTATCTATCAATGGAAAAAGTCATTGGTCGGCATTGAAAAGCAATGCAACTATGTTCTGTCAATCTAATTGAAACTTTTATTGGCTCTGTTGTCTTGTGAATTTAAACTTTTGAACCACTGAGCCGATTAAAATGATCAAAATATCAAATAAAAGGTTATTAAAAATGCTTTTCGGAAAAGTGCAAAAAGATTTAAAAATTGGAGTTTTGTACACGCAAACCAAAAATTTATTACAATGAATGTTAGTTCCATTTCCTATCATCCTCTGTTCATGAACATCGCAGCGAATGTTAGAAGTTGACCTTGCAGGTGATGTAATGGTTTTTTGCCTTTTTTATTTCGTGTTCTGTCTGTGCTTTCATCTACACAAGCAAGCATTTGCCTTGATTTTTATGTATAACATTCTAGAACGACGCACACACTTGCCTCGAATCTCTCCAGCAGAAAAAGCATACAAAGTCAAGTGTGAGAGGAAATGAGCGCTTCTTGTTTGCTTTTAGGCTGTCCAATTCAGAAGCATGGAGAGAGCAGTGGAGAAAGCACAGTCCCAGTCGGCAACCTTTTTCCAATTTTTTTCGACATAATTCATTTCACTCACTAATACACTCCACATTTTTCGGTCTCCAATTCTCTTGCATTGGACCGCAGCTAGGTATATTGCATCCTCGGTTCATGCGGTCTCCACTTACATCCTCTGATGATGAATCCGACATAATTGTAAGCGAATCTTACATCCACCGGTTGGGTGTATAGAAGAATTTTGATTGTATTTGCTTTTTTTTATGTTTTTCAGAGTTTGTAGACAATAAGCGTAACACGTTTTTATTTGAAAATTTAGGCTATTTTACACAACATAAAAAAATCAGCGATGTATTTTTCTTCGTTTTTGAATTACGATTTTTTTGAAATTATCATGTTTAGAAATATTGCTCATTACTCCAATACGACTAGACTACCTTGCGTCTCCATTGGTACATAGCTGATATAGTCACATAATCCATATCAATTTTCTGCTTCTGCTGGTCTATTTATGCAAAGTGAATAAGGCAAAAAAAGGCAATAGCTACCTAGACAGAGCACATGCTTAAATCATACGGAAAACTTGGTAGGTAATGTGTTCGTTCATAGGTACAGTGCATGGTGGTACATATATTTAAGGATGAACTTAGAAGTGAAATAATCAGTAAGGAATCAAAAGCTCTGTTAATCCAAAGATATCCTGTACAGCCAGTGTTTTAAAAGCGATGAATTTTAAGTGTTCTTGTTGTTGTTTGTGGGTTTCAAATGCGTTAAAGAGGAATCTTACCCAAGCCCTTCAAGTTCATGCGGTGAAGAAAAAAGTGAAATTAGATGGCACTTCCTTCATACGATACACCCAACCGGGGGATGTAAGATTTGCTTACAATTATGAGGGATTCATCATCAGAGGATGTTAGTGGAGACCGCATGAACCGAGGATGCGATATACTGAGCTTCAGTTCAATGCAAGAAAATGGAGAAAGAAAAATGTGGAGTGTATTAGTGAGTGAAATTAATCATGTTGAAAACAAAAAGTGCCGACTGGGGTACCGACCGCCGAACCACAAACGTTGCGATTATCATAATTTTGCTTTGTCCACTGCTCTATCCATGCTTTGGGATATGATTAGGCTAAAAGCAAACAAGAGGGCTCATTTCCTCGCATACTTGGCTTCGTTTGTTTTTCTACTGGAGAGAATCGAGGCAAGTGGGTGCGTAGCACAGTGGGGCAGCGAAGCCATTCGCGTGGCCAAAACCTCTAGCGCCATTGGTTTGCTTTCTACAGCGATACAATGTTCTACAAAGTTGCTCAATATTAAAAGCGCCATCTTTTGAAAGTTTCATATTAGTTCATTTTTACGCCACATATAGGAATTACTCATCCATGCAAGAAGTCATGTTGCATAACTGATGTACAACTTAACAATTGGAAAGTAGACAAAATGCTCAGTGAGAACCGCAGTTGGATTAAAAATCATAATAAGCATTATAATTTGTGTTTCTGATTGTGTGTAATCTATTCAGATCAATAACATCTTATCATGTTTTACACACAAAGCAACATTTCAACAAATTTGAATGAATTTACAATATGCAATATTCATCGACATTTTTATGCATCACTTTTTTTAAACATTTATGTTAATAACTTTATAATAAAGCATAATATATAAAATAATGGGTATTTCTTGGATGATTCAAACCATTTTGATAATTAGCAGAGTATAAAACTTATACATTTGACGTACCTAGGTGAAAAAAGGGGAAAATCCAATTTTAGAGTTTTCCTAATTGCCCGTTATCTCGTTTAATGTGAGTCATAGAGTTTCAATGTCTTCGACAACATTTCTCAACACTTCAAATTACACAACTTTGCAGGAAAAACTATTCGGCTAGGATGCTCCGTTCAAAAGATAGACTGGAGCGCCACCTATGCGGCGTAAAAATTAACTAATATGAAACTTTCAAAAGATGGCACTTTTAATATTGAGCAACTTTGTAGAACATTGTATTGCTGTAGAAAGCAAACCAACGGCGCTAGAAGTTTTGGCCACGCAAATGGCTTCGCTGCCCCACTGTGCGTCGTTCTACCATGTTATACATAACATTCAAGGCAAATGCTTGCTTGTGTAGGTGAAAGCATATACAGAACACGGAATAAAAAAAGATTAAAAATCATTGCATCGTTTGGAAGGTCAACTTCTAACATTCGCTGCGATGTTCATGAACAGAGGATGATAGTAAATGGAACTAACATTCATTGTAATTAATTTGTGGTTTGCGTGTATATATCACCTACATTTTTACGTGGTAATTAAAAACGCAACCAATAATGATTAATTTTTCCCTGGATCAAGGAAACTACCATGACTTGCACACAGATCTAGGATATTTTTCATTAAATGACCACTTTTACGGTTGTTCAGGATCTTTCGGAGATACTAGGGCACACATTTTGGTCTCCGATCCTAATTAATGCATATAGCTTCACAGCAAGTATTTTATAAAAATCTCTAGAATAACTTGCACGAATTGACCACTTTTACAGATGTCCCAGATCTTTTAGAGGACTGTTCCGTAGCCACCAGCATGCTGGTCTCAAAATCAAATTCATTAATGTAGCATCACAATAAGTTTTTTTTTTCCCTGATTTGTTTTCCGTATATCTTATTCTCCGTGCTGAGCACCAATGCTACTGACGTCAGGGAGACAGCTCCCACATTTGCACCCTACCTATCGACCCATCAACTCATGTACCGGGGACCAACGGCTTTACTTCCCTTCCGAAGAAAGACGTGATCAGAGATGTTGTAACGTCGTGCGTTTATTTCGTTTGAATTTTAAGTTTAGTTTAGAATAACTATAGATCTAAGTACTGGTCGCAGTGATCAAAATACCCAACTCGGAAAAAAAACTATGGTTACACCCAGCCGGGGGATGTAAGATTCGCTTACAATTATGTGGGATTCATCATCAGAGGATGTTAGTGGAGACCGCATGAACCGAGGATGCGATATACCTAGCTGCGGTCCAATGCAAGAAAATAGGAGACCGAAAAAAAAAAAAAAAAAAAAAAAAAAAAAAAAAAAAACAGTCCGCATCGTGCTCTCTTGCCGTGCGGATCTATTTGCTTTTTGCTGAAGGAAGTGTTACTACTACCTAAAGCTACAACAAATTTAAACAGCACTTTTCAGTGCTCAACCTGTAAAAATTTTCTACCTTGTTCAACTCTTATTCCTCTTCGATCCTTGTTTGGACCCTACCCGAGGTAATCCTTCTTGGATATCGATTTGGAAAATTCCTCTTCGATCCTTCAGATTCTTATAGTAATCTGCTTGGAAGTCGATTTGGATAAAAATTTACTG